TTATGCCATTACAGTTGTTCTATTCCCCCCCTTCCTTCCCCTCCACCCTGCACACCCCGTCCCCCCCCATTCCCCCCCCCTTTAGTTTATGACCATGTGTCACAAGTTCTTTAGATTCTATATTTCCCCTGCTATTTTTGCCCCCCCATCTATTTTCTATCTACTGTCTATGCTACTTATTTTCTGTACCTTCTCCCCCCCTTCTCCTCCTCCCACTCCCCTGTTGCTAACCCTCCATGTGATCTCCATTTCTATGGTTCTGCTCCTGATCTAGCTGTCCTCTTAGTTTGCTTTTGTTTTAGGTGTGGTTCTTAATAACTGTGAGTTTGCTGTCCTTTCACTGTTCATCTTTTTTATCTTCTTTTTCTTAGGTAAGTCCCTGTAACATTTCATATAATAAGGGCTTGGTGATGATGAACTCCTTGAATTTGATCTTATCTGAGAAGCACTTTATCTGTCCTTCCATTCTAAATGAAAGCTTTGCTGGGTAAAGCAATCTTGGATGGAGGTCTTTAGATTTCATGACTTGGAATACCTCTTTCCAGCCCCTTCTTGCCTGTAAGGTCTCTTTTGAGAAATCAGCTGACAGTCTGATGGGAACTCCTTTGTAGTTGACTGTCCCCTTAGCTCTTGCTGCTTCTAGAATTCCCTCCTTAAAGAATAAGGATTAACTGTCCTGATTGTGCCCTCGGTAGGACGAGCTTGAAAAGGGAGGCAGAGACGAGTGACAGCTCTCGGCAGCACCTTCTGTGACACTTCTTTCTAGGCCATGAGTCACTTCTCTCTGTTTCAGCTCACTCTTCTGCAGAGAACAGGAGTTAGACTCAGGCTGTCGGATGTGTGCTTCATTTCTAAAACTCGGATCTTAGGAGCCGTGTTTTGGAAGCATCACCACTCTTATCCCATCTCCACTCCCCATGAGAAATCACACTTAACACCGTCTCCCAGTGGGAACCTATTGTACGTGTTATTGGAGGAAGGCGTGGATGATGCTTATGCCGCTTTTCTGATCAATCAAGTTCAGATGGTGAACGTTTTGCTTATGCCTCCCACTGTAGTTCTTTGTTACCTGTAAACATATACACCTTTGTTTCTCATTTCATTTCCCACCACCAGCGTCCTCAGTTCCCACCATGCGGGTGAGTGTGCTCATCTTCCTGTCCTTATGTGGCCTTCCTTCCCCTTCCCTTATCCCACCTTCTGTATCTACATTTAAACTTTACTGTGATACTTGTATGGACGTGTACGGCTAGAGTCTGGTCCTCAGCCAGGTTAAACTTTGTGTTTGATTCCAACCGTTGAAAGGATGATTTCAATGGTAGTGCCAGCTTTTCCAGCTTCCCACAGTTCGTTTAAGGTGCACAGTATGTGTAAGAGCTGAAGTTTGCATGGCGACTCTAAATGATGATCTGAGAGTTGAAAATCAGTAGCAGTGCTCATACTATTCTGTGTCCTCTGTGGGGGTGCAATAAGGTGGAGTGCAGAGATATTTGTAAGATATTAGGGTACCGACTGCTTTTTACCACATTCGAGGATGTGCCATTTCTTGCTAAGGTACATCCTGACTCTAAAAGAGCTTCTGCAGAAAACAAGATTAAGCTCCTCACACCAGACACCATCTGCCATTGTCTGGCAGCTGTTTGCCCTCTGGGGCTGAAAGGAGGCTGCCTGGGTGACCCCACTTTTGCTAAGCATCTGTAAATAGATGGTTTCTTTTTTCACCTATCCGGAGCCCATCTGAAGACTCCAACTATTACCTGTAGAGCCCAAGAACATCGTCTATGTACCCTGACATCCCTAGGTATTTTTTTTCCTCCAGAAGTTTTTTTCTCTTTCTTAATTTTCTTTACTTCCTCCCTTCTTTATTTTCCCTTGCTTCTCTCTCTGTCCTTTCACTTTTTCCCATCCCTCCTTTCCTTCTCTGTTTCTTTTTATTGCACTTCCTCTAATCAAGTTTATTCTAGCCTCAGATATTTCGAATGCAGGTAGCATGCTGCGCCTGCTATACCGATGATCGCACTTAGCCCCCGAATCCCTGACTCGGAAGCTACTGCTTCCTGGGACCCACGTCCCCCCCCCCCCGAGCCTCATGCTCACTGTGCTGGAGTACATCCTAAAGTAAACTTCTTAAAACGAAATGCACGGGAGGTAAATTTTCTGAATCTACGTATTCGTACCGATTTCATTTTAGCCCTTACTCTTGTTTGATCGCGTAAAAGTTTTGATAATTTTTTTTCCCTGAAAAAAATAAAGATTGGTAGCTTGTTTCTCAGCATCCCATGCTTTGTATAGGAAGAGCCTGCCACTAGTCCGATCCTCACTGCCTACACACACATAAGTACGATCTTTCCACCTGGGAGTTTTCAGAAACCCGAGTCTGGTTGCTTGCTGCAGCCCAGGTAACAGGCTCAGCCAGCGTTTCTGAGCCCTTTGTGTGTGTGACAGTGTTGTGCTTGAGATGAGCCTCCTGCCACAATCCTGTAAGGTTCCCGTTTTAGAGAAGAGAAAACTCAGGCACTAAGGGGGCAGCTAATTGCCCAAGGGCTCACAGCTGAGGGACATGGGGTGCGAACCCAAACGGTTAACTCCCTGAGTTCCTGTAACGTTTGGTGTGTGTCTGTGTGTACAACATACTGCAACACCTCACGACCTAGTCAATGATGTACCAATAAACTACTTCTCCAGGGGAAAACAACCAACCAACCAACCAACCAAAGAAACAAAAAAAAGCAAGCCCTATTTAGTGATGTCTGCTGAAAGGTGTGGGTGAATATCCCACCACGGCCCCTTCACGGGAAGAGCAGGTCCCCTTGGATCCTGCTGCTGAAAGCAGGCTCTGCTTTTGCGTCATTGGAACTAAACTGAGTGAACTTGGAACTTGTATTTGCCTGATACTGCTTTTATTCTGAACTTGTCTTTGGTTTAATTTTCCATCAGCCATACTTAGAACGAACAGAACAAGAAAGAAAGACAAATGATGATATGGGGCTTAGGAATGAAAAGAAGTATTTTGACATTTATGGTGCTTTAAGGACTCCGCACACGTTAGAAAGAGATAGATTGCTAGTCCTTGGGAGAAACTGCGCTTTCCACACCTACTCTAATACGATTTTCTTACAAATGTTACATATCAACACCCACGGTGTGTTGGAGAAAGCAACAGTGAGTTACGGGAACTCCAGGAGCAACCACATCCAGGGCAGAGCAGGGGAATGTCACGAGTTTCAGGAAGCTGCCTGGTTCTTTCCTGCACTGTCCATGCCTTCGACCTGGGACTGACTTCCTGTCCCTGTCCCTCAGAAGCCAACGGTTTGATGACGGCAGCTTTAGCTTCCATTACAGCCACTTAAACTGTGACAGTTACTTCAGCTTTCAAGTGGGTGTGCTCTCCTGGAACAATGAAATGCGGCCCCTCTTTACAGGGGAACATTGATCGTGGAGCACACCGGACTCTCAGACAGTTCCTACTTCTCGTGGACCTCATCATCTCACCTTTTTAACTTCCTAAGTCAGGAGTTGACAGTATACTAACATATAAGTAGCACAATACTCAAGAAAACAAGCAGAGATTTTAACATGCCTTTTTAGAAACCTTTACAGGGTCTAGGAACCTTTCTTTTTTTAAAGACAGTATAGTGATATAAATAGGTCTTAATTCATCTTCATAATTAGTATCCAATTAGGACATATATTTATGTCACCAGCTTTTTTTTCAAATGAATTTGATTAAATGATTAAGATCTTAAATGAGTTCAGTTGGTGCTTAGCTCCAAATTCAATCACCAGGCATCAGACGTAATGACACTTAAAAAGAAGTTTAACAATGAAAAACTATGGGGTTTAAAAAGTGTATTATAGTCTATGTATAATATCTCAATGAAAAATATATCATAGCTTCTTATTTGCCTTCTGAAACCAAGGAAGTCACGTGCTGGTATTGGAAATAGACATTTTTGTTCGTGTGTGTAGAGCACACACATACATCTCTAAAAACTCTGGGTCAGCACCCTTTAAGAGTAAATCAAGATCTAGTAGGAATAGTTTGAACAAGGGGAGGCAACCTTAAGTATCACTTGAGATTCCTATCCGTTATTTGGTACGCATTATGTAGGAGTACAACCTGTTAAAATTTGAATTATATTCGTTACTACGTCATTCAAAGGAATAAGGTTAATGAGCCTGTGTTTTAGATGGAATACCTGGACAGGGGAAAGGACGGCTCAGAGATGTCATCCCAATTGCTTCAAGGTCATTGCGTGAACCCTCTCCGAGGGCTGTCCTTGGCCTTTGTTAAGCCTCCTTTAGGATTTTGCACTGCAATGCTTGTTCCTATTTTCAACTTTCCTGCAGGTCTATAATGTTTTACTCCACATGTGTCCGACACAGTGAATAACAACACAATTAGAGATCAAATTCCCTAAATGATCTTCAGAGGAAACTGTTCATACTAAATCTTAGTAGCTAAAACATCACAGATTTTTGTGACTAGAGAACCTTCACACCGATGCCCTATCAGAGGAAAAGACCAAAGAAAGTCTACAATACCGCTTATCAGAAGACTGCCTGTATTTTCTAATGTGTGCAAGACAAAGAGCACCTTTATTATTAACAGCATCCCTCCCTCTTCCGGCTGGCAGGGAGCCGTAAGTAAAACCGACCTTTGGTGATAAGAGACCCATCACTGTATGTACTGACATTCAGCCACAACTAATCATACTTGGCCTCACCCTTACTTTCTTCTTTGGGTCTAAAACAACCTGGGTACTCTAATTATTTTAAGTATCCACTTATAGTTTATTTCCTTTGGCTTTAAGCTATGACTATGGAAGTAAATCCCCACAGTAGCAATTCCTTAAAACAGTGAGTAGAAATCCAAATATCAACTCAAATGTAAACATCTAAAAGATATATGGATATACATACGCATTCATTTTCAGGCAATATACAAAGCTCAAAATAAAAGTAGATGATAAACATTCATATATTAAAAGCAAACGTGCTCCTTTGGCATAAGTTTATTTTTACACAAAGAATTTAGAAAATATGAGGCATACACTCTGCACTGAGCGTGGGTAACCTTTTCAGTTTTTGCTTCTTTCTTTTTTAAATATAGATGCCGCCAGGAGAAATGGATCAGATGCAGTCTACTTTTTCCTCCTTTGGCTGATTTTTTAGGGAATTATAAACCATGAAATGAAACTGGGTAAATGTAGGTAGTTTATTGCAAGCAGCACCTGCAGCCAAGAAAAGAGAAAGTCGTTTGGTTTCAGAACACACACATTTACAAGCAATACAGACATCACCTGCTGTCTGCCTGGTGTCCAGCTAAACCTCACGTCTGCCTATGGTCTGTAGCCGACAGATCACAAGAAAGTAGCAGTAGGGGAGCCATCTTTCTGAACCTCAGACTATAGGCTGATGTTTTGCTCTATATACATGCTCTCATTGCTGCTATTATTTATTGTTTTTACATTCTTTTCTTAGCAAAAAAAAAATTCAGGCATATGCTGAAGATTTAATTCCCATACCACTAACATATTCCTACCATTCACTCATAATCCTCCTCTCCCCAGGATTCCCGTTTTGGTTTTTTTTTCTACCCTTCTATTCTCATTGAAAGGGAGGAGGGTAATTTGTCAAGATGCTCTCTACCTAATCAAGTTCATCTTAGGAAGTGGTTTCCTGCTGCCCCAGCTACCTGTGCACAAACACCTGGAGGGCCCCTTCTAACGCTATCGCGTTCAATATAAGGGACCAGATTCATCTACAATTACATAATTATCTTCTACAATTTTAAATTCAGCTATAATTATATAACTATCATTTTAGATCCTCTTACATCCAACTTTGAGCCTCTTAAGGTTTATTTTTTTAAGAGGATATCAATGAAACTGACTTATTTCATATATGAAGCCTTTCCCTCCCACAACTTATATTGACTTTTGCATCTTAGTACTTAGAAAAGAGTAAGATATACTTCAAACACGTTTTTCAAATACAGAACTGTGGGAAGTAGAAGATCAAAGAACAGTAGTAAGCAGTGTGACCTTATAAATGACATTGGTCAGTGTGCCCTACGTCTTCCCCAGCTGCAGATTCACAAATGAGGACCGGCTGTGGGTGGTCTTGTGATGCTCTGAATCCGCCACTGCCTCACACTGAAGTTGGATGAAGCAAAGGATGCGTCTCCGCACAAAACCAGTTCTGCTAATTCCTTTGGTTTACTAATCAGTAATACATTTTGAACCTCTGAGTCCCAGACAGATCGAAACAGCGGGGACATTTACATGATGAATGGGAAGATGATCTATCCATGTTTACTTCTAGTGAACAAACGCCGCTGAGCAGACACGCCCATTGCAGCGTGGACAGAAGCTGAAGCCAAACTGCGCTTGGGTCAGAAGTCACAGCCCAGGGCGAGGAGTCCACGGCGGCATCCCCGCCAGCAGTGGCCAGCCAGCAGAGGGGTTCGGGTATACTGTTTAAGAATTAGTGACTCTTAACGGGTCGTCAGTTAACATCTACCTAGTGCCTACCCAGTAGCATCTCTGTTGCCACCGTGTAGGAATCAAATACAACCACGGTATTTAAAAGTGTGTGTTTCCATCAACATTTGCAAGTTCGCACAAACACAAACTCCACATAAAACTCACCATAACTTCCAGTCACGTTGGCACAGATAACAGCTCCAAAGAACTTTGGAAAATACTTATGAATTCTGGAAATCACTTTTTGGCAAGCTACCGTTGGATTTTCTCCTCCTCTCATATATTCTACAGCTTGGTAGCTGATGTAAACAGAGGCAAAACTTGAGAATGACAAAATACACTAACTCTGAATTTGGTTACCTTAAGTTAGAAATCTAAAAGCATCAAAACCGTCACGTTTGATAGCATACATCAATGAACAGGACTTCTGCACAAACGTCAACAAGGCAGCGTGTCGACTTTGGTACGATGTCTATCTGGTCAACTACTCCACCTATCCCCTGCAGACAAGGGCTGATAGTTTCGGCTTTGACGGAGGTCATACAGTACGGAGCTTGTCTTCCAATAAGAAATGGGCCTATGATCAATAGGGAAAACTCTGGGCCTCAGCCGGAACCTCGTTGTCAGGATTATCTTCTAGTAATTAATTATAGGCAGGGACTGCACTTCTGACTTCTATCATCCATTACCGCAGCTGCTGTGGTCAGTGGCCTTACATAAATGGGTCCTAAGTACCCTCATCTGTGATGCAGAGGCAGAAATATTGTTCTTTTCAGAGGACGAGGGTTGCTTAGTTTGAACGATTACATTATCAACGTGATAGATAAAGAGTTGCGAGTGGAGTTTCTCCACTCACAGCCCTTGTACACACAAATTCGGATTGCACGGCACACATGGTTACTATCCTGACAGACAGTTGCCCTCCAAAGACCTCAGAGAGTCACGCATGGGAGAAGTCACACCTTGGTAGAAAGCGCATCAGTATGTCCCCGTCCCCAGTGGCCGCTGCAGCTCCAGCAGCGTCGTCCGCATAGGCCCCGGCTCCAGGAATCGGCGAATCTCCTATCCGACTTGGTGAGGACACAGCGTGAAAATTTAGGATGGGAAATCGCAGGTACACCCTAAGTCATCTGATGAGCTGTTTCAACAACAGCGGGTGTTTCTACTTAGCTACTGATAACTGTCTGAAGTAACTTCTCCATTGGGACCCAGAGTAAAGGATTTTCATAAGTTTCAAGCTAGGTTTGCACACACCTACATTAATCGTATAAGAATTAGATGGCAGCTGGTTACATATCAAGGTGGCACAGATTGATAGTGACTATTCTATTATGACCACCCTTGTCATCTCATTTCTGGATTATCTCTACAGGCTCAAATTAGATTTTGCCACCTACCATCTATTTCTGCATCCTATCTAAGGTGCCAAAATGGTACCAAGGTTTTTCCTTGTAACAACCCTTCGGTGCTTTTCTAGTACTCTGAAACAAAATCCAGAAACCCTTCACTGACTGAAGACCCCTTGAAATCTTGTCCCCTTTCCCTGCAGCCAGAGGCACCCAGTCTCTTTAGCAGCCAGCTGGAGCCCTGGACCGAGGGGCATGCTTTCGGATCTGGCACTGCCCTGGCCTGCCTGTCCCCTTGCCCTCCTCAGCCCCAGGCTCAGCCCCCACAGGTCTCCCTAACTACCGCAGCTTCATCAGACCACTGTGGCCGTCCCTGAACTCTAAAGCACCAGCCGGCTCTCCCTCTCCTTCCGCACTTAGCAGATACTAATTTATTTTCCTTCCCATTTATTTCTCTCAGCCACGAAGGGAGGGCCGTGCTTTGCGCCCGCCCCTCCCGCAGCAGCAGCACACACTGGTTTACGCTCAGTGTGCACTTGGGAGATGTGCGCTTTCAGACACTGACCCGGGTATTTTGAATCTTAGGCCATTTGTGGAAGTGCCAGCGGCTGTGCGTCCCGTCTTGTGGATGACCACCATGCCTGGAATTCAACGCAACGTCTTTGTAGGTATCAGCTCTAAAGTTTATCTCAGGTAGAACCAAATCATTCAATGGCTGGTGAAATAAACGTCCTCGTTCATTAATTTCAGGCAGCGGAAAACAGAACACGTGGGAATACTGAAAATTACACCAGGTAAAATTCGTGCTTTCTAGTGACCTGGTTTCATAGTATCAGTTGGTGGGTACCCCATATTCTTACTCTTCAGTTTGCTGTGGTACTTTTCAATGCCTTTCAAAGGTAATTCCACAGAAGATCAGTGATTTTCTGAGACTGACAAACATTTTCAACCTCATTCGCCAGAAAGAGCACTTGAATGTAGCAAATAATGTCAAATTATTAAAGAACTAAATATAAATAAAAATTAGAAAATCCACCAGGGAATGATCACCAGATATTAGGGGTACTGTGTAAGATAACTTACTAAAATGGACACAGATGTTCAGAAGATGCTAAGTGTGTGTGTGTGAGTGCAGACCTGTATACAGGCATATAGATCTATCAGGTCTTACTTGTCAGTTAGAACAGAATCCCCTTCTGGCACATGAATAGGGAAAACATTAGGAACTACAGAAGGACAATTACAAATGGCTTAACCTTAACCACAAAAACTGTGCAAAAGGCAGATTACCAATAGTGTCATGACCGTAATCATCTCCTGCTTCCTTATAGGTAGAACCATCTTGCTTTAAGATGCTAGGTGGTTTGTAAGGTCCACAGTATTTGGAAGCATCTGGTACAACATTCTGTAAATGAGATTTACGTTTTTATTTTTTAGAAAGGGTGATTTTAGAAAGTGGCAAGTAGTTACATGCAATCACGAGACATTAGGAAGAAACCAAAAGGACATCTGGTAAGTGAAAGATAAGAATTAAAAGCCAACGATTAACTAAGTCTCGTGTGAACAGATGGATATAATTTTACTAAATACCTAGTCTAGTCTCAGATGCACATAATGTGGAATAGAAACCTACTTAGTCTGGAAAAGACTCCTGATTTTTCTCTTTAGATGCCTAAAATTCTCTGCCTAAGGGCAGACATAAACGAAGCTCTTTTGTTAGATATTAATCCTCAGCAGAACCTTCAAAGTTCCTAATTTGTTCCCTGGCCAAAGAAGAATTATGAAATCTAAAGCAAAATCTACTTTAAAACCATCTTTTTTTTCACAGCTAGGTTCATGTGCACCTATCCTAAATTCTACTCCCAGACTCTTTTAGGAATCAAAGACTCGAGAAAATAATCCAAATCTATAAACTCAGGTGGAACATGGGTATCAACATTAAAGCAAGAAACCTACTGCTCCTTTCTCAAGAAACCTACTAGCTCACTAGGTGCCTCCCTGACCTGGTTTTACACAGTGGCCTCTTGCAGCCTGCAGACAGCCTGCAGTTACAAAACAGATCTGGTGACAAAAACAGATGAGAGGCTATGACAGGCCTCAGTAAAACTCTGAATGGCAAATGCAAACTGACCTGTGCTCAAGGATAAGGGTCACTCTGGAGTGACGGGCCAGGTACCTAATCCTACACAACCTCCAGTCAAACGAGGACAAGATCCTGGGTACACTCCGCACAGATAAAAATCCAGGAAATGTTTTAGACCAATGGTTCCGAAACTTTGATGTTTCAGACTTGGAAGCTTTCATTCTAAGGAAACACAAGCAGAGCAGCTCTGACTGAAGCAGCCCCCTCTCCCCATAACGGAACCTTCCAAGTCCCAAAACTGTCACCAGGAACCAGCAGCTGTCCCCAGCGGACAGGCCTTACGTGCAGTGCAGGGAGGGGGCTTTCAGGGACACCCAGGCCCCGAGTCATCGCTGTTCTCAAGTGCAACCGGGTGCTCCCCAGCACCTTTGGCTCTGGGTAGACAACAGAAGGCAAAAGGGAGGTCACTTAATATTTTCAATTTGCTTTTTAAACTTAAATATACATACCCTCCAGTAATTCGGCTGGCAATTCCGAGCAAGCCAGTCTGAATGAAGTGCTCGAGAAGTATTGGTAGACAAATCCTCGTTGACAAACCCCATACTTTCGGCAAACTTGGTGGCTGGTGAGTGGGAAGAGAAAGGCAAATTAGCTAACTATTGCCTTCTACACAAAATGCATGCGCAGGAAATGTTGAAGTTCAGCTGTCCCTGAAGTGGGCTGTGACCATCCCCGAGTACAGGAGAGTTCGGACAAGTTTTAAGGCATCTGCTTCTAGATCTCAGCTTCCCTATGTCCTCCCCAAAAGTGATCTGCTTCAGACCCCTGGGGGGTGTGTTTTGACAACTGTCCTTACCTCCTCCCCTCCACTATCTCCCTTCCTCTACCCGGGCAAAAGGCACACCTCTCGCCAGTGAGGAGTCTTGCAGCTCCAACCAGGCAGCCACGCCCAGCGTGTAAAAAGCTGAGGCACCAAAGAGACAGCTGGATTCCACGAATGTCTGTTTTCAAGTCTGATTTTCCAATGAAATCGAAGACCTCCTCTTGCCGTCGTGAGCTAATACATGTTCACAGTTACTCTGGTTATAGGTCACTGTATGGTGTTGGGTGTAAACTTGGAATGACATAGCAAACTCCTTCTGGTCCCATCTTCTTATGTTCATAGCACCCGTGGGCCTTATACCTCTCAAGGTCACACAGAGAAATGGTGCTGAACCCTATTGGTCCAGCAGGTCCCCATCTATAGCTAGCAAACTAATTTTTTAAAATCCTACTTTAAAGATGAAGAAAGTGAGAATTTAGAAGTTAACTTATCCACAGTGAAGTGGATATGAAGTAGAAGAGCTGGAAGTTGAGCTTTGGTCGGCTTTTTTACACTATTTCACACCGAGTCCTCTTCCCCCAGGGCACGCAAGACTAGATCCCTCAGCTCCGTGCACCTGTACCTGACTCTCCTGCCAGAAGCGTGTGTGTGGTGTGTTCCAGGACTTTCCGGGCCACGCCGATGGCGTTTTTAATGCGTCTAAGATCTCCTACTGCTCCGACGTTCATTGTAGTACTGGAAGAAAAAAAACACACAGTAAGATTTAAGGCATTTTCATAGATTCATAGATTTAAAAATATTGTTTTACTCTAAGCCTTTGTGTTCTGTATGGTAGACACCAACTTCATGTAGACGTCACAGCCCATCCATGAAGTTCATACAAACTCCCACAATCACACATGAAGGAAGAAATCAAACGCCAAATTACCACACCCCCCGACAGCACTCAGACACTCCGTGTGTGTCTCCGGGCGCGTCCCTCACACGGCTGTTCAAAGGGGTTGTAAGGCTTCCGGTCAGGCAAGCCACAGCCTTTGTGGGTGGCGGGTCAAGGGCCCTGCACCGATCAGAGACATATTTTCTGTAGTTTGGGGTCTCCTGTGCTCAAGAGACTACCATCCTTCAAGTGATATTTCTATGATTATTATGATTTTTTTTAATCGAGAGGAAAAGCAATTGTGATTGGAAAGGCCATGCAGTAAGCCAGGGGTTTTGGCCCCGGGACAAGCCTTTGACAATCATCCATCCTGCTCTCAGCAGAAGGCAGATAACGATACAGTAACTGCCCAGGAAGCGAAGGCGCAGGCACCCCGGGCCTGGAGCGCGTGCTCACCCGTCCATGATCATGGCGTCTAGCGTGGTTTCCCCAGCTTCGTCGGGGCTGCCCCCGAAGCCCACGGTGCCGTCGCACTGCTCCTTCTCGCACTGGGCGCAGCCCGTCTCCACGGCGTCCAGCGCGGAGCCACCGGACACCAACGTCCGCCACGCTGTTGGCAAAGCCCAACAGTACTTGTTTATATTTGTATATTTTTCTCAGTGCCAAAAGCAACGGGCCAGGAGTGTTTCGAAAACTCCTATGTTTACATTTTTTCACCTTTACTCTAAATTAAATGGAATTTTAATTTAACTTTTAAATTGTTTTAATGTGGTCTTTATTATATATTTTTCCAATACCATTAGGCCCTAATGACCCCCTTTCCCCAGCAATCACCTCACTGTTGTCCACGTCCACAGAGTCCTTTTTAAAAGCAGTTTTTAAATCAGTGTATTAGATGCTACAAAGGAATAAGAGTGATACAAACAATGGTATGGACAAAATTATGTAATACAACTAACTACTGTGAAGAATTCAAAGACTTCGGCTGCTGATGAAAAGTAAGGTTTTTTTTTCACTTATTAATATATATTTCTACTGTGTGTGAGAAAAAGATTTCATCCTCCAAAGTTACAATTGAAGCTGCTGAAAGACAGTGACATTGAAGTCATTAAATTACATCCTTATTAGTGGCTGCATCATTAGATCATTAAAAATATGTGTATATCACTAATACTTTTACTGCCATAACATCTGTCACAGCATGTTTTAATAACAGTACCACACAGGAGCAAATAATTTCAGTGTGGGCCTCACATGGATTGATTCATTTGATCTTCACGATGGCTTTCCAGGTAAGGACTATACACTTATTATCATCATTTTAAATGGGAGGAAACAGACCCAGCGAGGTTTTAAGTTATTCAACGTCACACAGAGAGTCTGCAGCAGAGCCAGGATTCAAAAGGAGCCGTTTGTCTGCTATTAGCACCCTGTTGTGTGGAGTCCCTACACCTTGAAAAGGAAAAAACAGAAAGTTTCTGATGGTCATTTTCCTTACTAATAAACAGAAAACTCCTTAAGGGGTAGTAGATACTATTTTAGTAAATAATTTAAGTATTATTACTGGCCACACTGGCTGGAAAGTCTTTTTTTTAAGAGAACAAGTTATTTTAATTTTAGAGAGGGAGAAACATCAGTTTGTTGTTCCATTTATTTATTCAATATATCACAACCGCATTCATTGGTTGATTCTTTCGTGTGCCCTGACCTGGGAGATTAAACTCATAACTAGCAACTGCAGTGTATCAAGAGGACACTTGGAGCTACCTAGCCAGGGCAGGGCAAAGTGTATTTTGAGAAGCTAAAGCCCCATACATCCACTCCCCTGCCTGGGCGGGTGCACTCTCTGTCTCATTATCGCTGGGAATTTGTTTCTTATGGTCTGCTTCCTCATTTTCTCTGAATGTATTCATTGCTTATAACATCCAGACTGAGCTCCACCAAATTCAGGAGCCAATTCTATCCCCAGAAAGTTAAATTAGCCTCTGAAGAGGTTTGAAATTACTTTTGGGGTATTATGTCTTGAAATGAATGAAACACACAGTAAGAAATTGGCAAGATAATGGTAAGTACAGGATGACAGCAAAGCACAGAAGATGGGCACCTATACTTCAGAATGGGTATAAGGGCAGTCCATCAGGGAAGGCACTTTAGCTTAACTGGCTTTCGATCTTGGCAGCAAATCAAAATCACTTTGGGAGCTGAAGACGAAACAAAACAAAACAAAACAAACAAAAAACTAGGTGCCTTGGTTCTAGCAGTTAAAGCAAAATCTCTGGAGGTGGAGCCCAGGCACAGATACATTTGACAAGCTCCGCAGATGATGCTAATGTACAGCTGAGACTGGAAGCTCGGGTTCCAGGTAGCAAATACAGCATATCAATTTGTGTGTAGGTGGGAGGAGAGTAAATGCAAAAATAATGTGCTTTTGGAGGGGAATTATTAGTCAATTTGCAAAGCTGGAGTACGGGGTATTATTGGGGAGAACGGAGAGGTTAGAATGAAGAGGCAGAAAGGAGAGAGACCATGAATAGGTTGCTGTCAGGCATAGACTTCCTGGGATAGGCTAAGCAGCAGGGCGGACGATATATTGGAGCAGGGCTTGCACAGAAGGAGTAACCCTAAATGATGGGGATGGAAAAATCAGCAGAGGTGAAGAGTACGGGGTAAGGGGTCAATTGCAAGAGATAGCGACGCAGCGGTGCGCCTAGGGCGGCAAGACGAGCCTGCGCAAAGGGTGGAAGGCCAGGGCTGGCCTTCTCTCCCCGAGACTCCCCGCAGGCAAACTCTCGCAGCACAGTCCCCGCCCGCGGCTACGGTCCCGCACCTGCTTCGGTTGCATTCTTAAAAGGCCAAGTGTTGAGAACCAGCGGGAGGAGGCTGGAGCTGCGCGCGAGAGCTGGGCAGAGAAAGAGCTGCAGCAAGAGGAGTGGGTTCGACTTCCGCACCATGACTGCAGGCCCCGCCCAGCGTCAGAGGGGTCGTGTCGCGGGGTGCTCTAGGACCACTTGACCCTAGGCGCCCCGCCCCCCGGCCCGGAAACCCGCCTCTTTCCGGCACTGTCTGTGCCGCAACTCTCGCGAGATCCGGATTCCTCCGGGACTGGCTACGGGAGGTTTTAGTCTGGAGGGCTGTGCAGGTTTCAGTATTCTTTTCCCGGTGTTAGAAGCAGATTGAGTTCCACACAGGAAAGTTCATGACATTATGTAGCCCTGGGAAGGTTTAATACCCTAGGAAGGTTGCAGACCCAGGGCAGGTTAAAATTTGGTCTAACATACCCGTTTAATGGCGAGTTGCAGGTGAAACGTTTGGCACAGGCAGGAAGTACTATTAGTCCGTGATTCCTGGCCTCAGGTCTGGGGTGGTCTTTGAGTGTGTCTACAACCGGTTCATTTTAGGTCTTCCCACTCCAAGAGCTTTTTGTAGGACGTCCTCTCCTTACAAACCCCTGCCTGAAAGAGGAGAAAGCCTGGGGGAGCCCAGGTTAACCCTCTGCACAGTTTCCCGAAGCGTCCCTCCCTGCTTCCTCCGTTCCCCGTCGCCTGTGCTTCACATTGAACCTGGCTTCACGAAGTGCTAAGTAAACATTTGACTGTGTCAACCTTTTTAAAGGAAAAGGTAAGAGACTTAGACAGCCATACTGAGTTTATTCCGAATAGCAGAGGGATTACACTGAGGAGCAGGAAACTGGTGAACCACACGCAAGTCCGGAAAAATAAAAAGCATTCTTCTATAGAGGAAAAGGGGAAGTTGAGAGAAGCCATTTGAACAAAAGCTGGAGCAAAGAACAGGAGATTTCCACGTGGCCCCGGCCCCGGAAGCTTGCTCACTGGTGCAGGGCAGAGAGGAAAGCTTTCTTTTCACACCGGCAACCTTACAAGGTGCAGCCGTGGTACTTTGCTGAGCAATTTCCCTTGTAGGGGTGTCCAACCCATGCCTGCAGGCCACGTGTGGCCCAGGATGCCAATGAGTCTGGCCCAACACAAAGTCGTTAATTTACTTAAAACCTTTTTGTTTTGCGAAGGGGGGGGTTCATCAGTTTTCATTAGTGTTTGTGTATTTAATATGTGGCCCAAGACAAATCTTCCAGTGTGGCCCAGAGATGCCAAAAGTTTTGATACACTGCATGGTTCTGACTGTACTTTGGATGAGGTTTCCTGTATTCATATTGACAGATAAAAGTTGGGATCAAGATTTTACATGCATGACAGAGGTGGACTTTTTGATAGTTGGGTTGACTGGGCAGTTGGGCAGGTGTGAACCGATCATCCGTTTGGGGCTCTGTAAGGCCCGCCAATGTTGCCAAGGGAACCCACAGGATCAAGTAATGTTGAAGAGTATCTATAAATCTACCCGGGCAGATAAAATATTAAGTTGGTAGGATGTGAGAGATTTACAAAACTTCCGAATTATGAAATTAAATACACCATTTAAATAGCATAAGCTGGGCTATCCTAGCCAGGGAAGTGCTATTAAAAAGTTTGGAGAAGTGTTATAAATTTCTACAATGGGGTTTTGGTGGAGGCACAGTTAATTTATGCTGAGGTAATCGGGATAAACTAATGCCATATGAAATTTAGAAAAGGGGCAAAACAGGGTCAGGAAGCAGGGAAAATGCCCACTGTACTTTGAATTCCTTTTCATTAGCACCTGATCTGAGCCCTAGTTTTCTTGACACTCCGGAAGGAGCCAGGACAGCCTTCAGCAAAAATCGTGCAAAACAACATATAAGAAACTGCGTTGGCATCCTCTGCTCTTTGGAGCATCTCCCGGAGGCTTAAGGCATTTGAGCTGCTTCTGGCTAAAGGAGTCCATTTGACCTTAACAAATGGCTGTTTGTGAAGGAACAACAACAACAACAACAAAAAGCAATTTTCAAGTCTAGAAAAAAGCAAAGGAGAAGAACCACTCTTTTATGGACTTGGACAGGGCTAGGAAGAAAGTGAAAGTTGGAAGTCTAGTGGTTTGTCCTTGGCCGAGTTGTGGGGGGGTCCCCCAGTGGCTGAGCTGTTACTGGGCGAGGGGAATCTCTGCTTCCTGCGGAGGCAGTAGTTACAAATGGAGCATCACTGCCTGTGAGAGATGTAAGGTACATCTCTTCTCCCTGAAGTCAGTGGTGTGTGTTGGTGATATGGATGGGAGTTCTTTTCTTTAGCTCAGCGATTTTCAGCCAGTGCTTTGAAAAATGTCTAAAACTTGTATCACCTGACTATTTAGTCAGGGGCACTGACCTGTTTTCCCTTAGACTGTCAAATAAAAAATGACAGCAATGAACACAACAATAGCTATCCAGTGTGAATTAATCAAAATTACATCTATTTTTATTAGATCAGCAAAAAATACATTTTTGGTGTGCTGCAGAATTTTGGTAATTAGTTTAGGTGTGCCATGAGATGGGAGAGGTTGAAAATCTCTGCTCTACCCTCTTGACTTCATTTTAAATAAGGTTTCTGTTACTTTTCACACTAATAAGTCCACCCTTTTCTCTAAAATTCCTCTCCTTGATTGAAATAAAAATTCCCATTAGAGAACTTCAACTCATCCTCTGGTTGTGGGAAAACAGCTAAAGAGAAGGGATGTTTGAGAACAGGTCTCAATGGGTCAGCTTTCTCAAGGGCATCGGTATTAAAAATAATTAATATGCCATCTTGAATGAATCGGACATATTTGATTCACTCAAATGAATGAACCTACTACAATACCCAGTGTGTTCATTGTCCAGTTTGCCTAAACTTGAAGTCCTTTCTGCCATTGTCTTAAACATGTGAAAGTAGCCTGGATATTTCAGCTGTTTACGGATTAGTTTTCCTTGATTAAAACTTGGAGACTAGTTTGAGTTTTAGCCCTGAAGTCGCCTCATGTTATTTTCAGGTTTTTATTTGGGCCTACATATAATTGGATCTTTATGCTTAATACTAAGAAAAATCCAAATGGAAAGGCATCTGTTAATTGGTTAGGTGGTACACCTAAAAAAAAGGATCCAGTTTTCTACAAATTTTCAATATCTTAAATCATTCATTATATACAACAACAGAGATCATTAGTGATAAATCAAAAGAATTAGTTGTGAATTATTTTTACTGCACATTAAAATGCATTACACGCTTTTCTTTGATAAAATGTTGATGTTCCTAATTAGTACCTACTTTGAATTAGCAATACTTCCGGAGGATTCTCAAGGCCTGGATTTTCTAACGTAGGGCAAGACCATCTTCCGGAGCCACAGTTTTCTCATCTGGAAGGTGGAAGAAACAAGTGTTCCTCCTTACCTTACCAACTTTTGTGAATGAGTTAGGAGATGTGGGAGATCAGTAAAGCACTGTGCATATTAAATAAAGTTCTGTGTTTAGTTGGAATTTTCCAAGCACTCATCAATAGATGTCAGGGAGGAGGCAATCCAGAAACATAGAAAGCAGCAAATTTCCACAGGAATAATAAAGATTGGACCAGATAGATACTCATCATGTATTTTGAAAGTCAGCAGTTAGAATTTCCTTAACTGACTTAAACAGGAGTTAAAAATAATGTTTTCTGTTTACTTTGAGCTGTCTGAAATTTGTTTTAAATGTCTGTAAGATGCCCATGGCAGGGTTGTGCAATTTCTGAATGTCATAAAAACAGCATCCTCACGTCTTCCCAAGGAGCAGTCTCAGATGGAAGTGTAAATGATGTTACAATTAGAGCCGTTCTGTGTGGGGTGAGGCAGGGGCGCAGGCAGCTGCAGGCTCTCCTTCATTTTTGCTAAACGTCACGGCTTTCAGTTTATCGGCCTCAGAAGGATGAAGAGCTGAGTCTCTCCTGATAGCATTCAAAGCTGTGGTTCCGCAGAGGATTTAATGCTGTCGTTGCAGGGTATCTCGGTATTTCAAATCTGAAGCTTAAAAATCTAAGCTATCCCCTCCGGCTTTTGCGCTGATGCTGTGAAATCCATTTGAGCAACATGCCCATGTTTTGCTACTTGTTCAAAGCTGTAAGCGTGACTTGGCATTGAAATAATTTTTTTTCTCAAAAACTCCCCGCTGAACTACTACCTGGGTTATCTAAATACAAGCTATTTATTTGATTGGCATTTGCTCTTGTCAGTTTGCAAACTCTGAGTAGTGACTGTTACTAATGTTAGAGCATTGTGGTACTGTATTTCTAATTTAAATCCATTTTTCATTAATTCAGGGACACTTGATGTTACTACCTGATCATACGGTCTGGTTGTAATTAGAGTCATTATACAGAAATAAGTATTATCTTATTATTCTCTAAATGAGAAAAGAAAGTATGTATCCTTTCTGGAATATATTTTTCTGATTCATGTCCGTGAAACCATTTGTTAAATCAATAGCAGATTCAAATCACCAACTTTTGGGGGGTGCTTTTTAATCTTTAAAAGTCTTTTGGTGACTTGTAGGACCAGGATTGTATAGTAGAATATTGGCCTATTCAATGATTTTTTCAAAATAACTCACGTACACCATATTCTCAATTTGCACTTTTAATAGTGGGCCACTGTTATACTACAGTTATCATAACGAGGATACAGGAGATCATTTTACATGGTGGGCCCTGATTTTTATGACTGTCGTTTGTGGTGTTATGAGGTCTTCATGAACGTGATCCATTCCGACAATAAAGGTAGAGGGCAATAAATGTCAGGATGTCTTCCTACCACTTAAAAAGTCACTTTGACATGGTTAACTGGTGTCACAGGTGATTTTCATGACAACGTTTCACAGTAAAAGCAAAATTCCAAAGTAACAATGATGTATGTATGGCAAATACTCTCACCATTTAAAATAATTGTTGGTCATGATTGCAAAGAAAAAATATTCTAATGGACAAATGTATCCTGTGTATAACTTTTCCACTAGTCTGTTATTTCCAAATGCTTCACTTTATGACTTAGAAGATTACACATACTTAGTATTCATTTTTGTCATTTTTTAGAAACATGTCTGTGTTCTTCAGTAAGTGTGCTAGTCCTTACTGAAGATCACCTACATCTTAACATTTCGGAACATATCTGTTTGGTGAAAAACCTTGACATTATTCACACTGTTGTATAAACTGCCTTTTATTTATTCATTTATTTATTGTTCAGTTCCAGTTGTCCCACCTTTTTCCCCATTGCTCACCCCTACCCCATTCCCCCACTCCCACAGTCAGTCCCCCCATAGTCCATGCCCGTGAGTCCTCTGTTCGTGTTCCTTTGCTTGGCCCTTTCCCCCATTATCCCCTCCATGATGGGGGGAGCATTACAAAAATGCTTTTTAAAAAGATAGGGTTAATCTCTTTGCATGTTGCTGATATTCTTTATATTATTTTAAATATAGAAAAGGACATAAAACATAAAGATGCACCTTAAAGAATTTTGCATAAGATGAACACCCAGGTAATAACCACTCGAGTCAACAGCTGAATATTTTGGAGTGCTGAGAGAAAACCCCTAGCTGCTCATGCAGCAGAATTTTTAATAACATTCATTTGTAAACAAACAAAAATTATTGTTTTCTACCGTTTAGGGTTATGATGACTGTGATTTTGAAATTTTGTACGAGCGTTAAGTGTTTTCCGTATTGAAAGAAAGAAAATGCAGTGGTGGCTTAAAGCCAATGGGATTTACGAGTTTGCCAAGACAAGAAGTAGAAAGTGGCAGGTATTCGGCACTTACCTGTTGCCTTAGGGCCCTAGGAATGTGGCTTCAGACGGAGGCCCACATCCCAGCCCTGGGAGGGAGGGAGGCCAGCTGTCAGCTGTGCTTCTCCCTTCTCAGCAAGGGAGCAAAGGCCTTCCAGGCACCCCCAGAGGCTGGAATGATGTCGTTTGGCCTTTCAGGAAAGCCTGCACACTCACCTTTTTTCTCAGTTCTTTTCTCTTTTCTTTCCTTTTTTTTAAGGGAAGGGTCTGGATGTCACCTCTGGTCAGGGTGGCACACAGCAGAAACAGCACATACTGAAAGGGGTCAGATACTGAGGCGACCTTGAAAGGTCAAGACCTCTGTAAATTTCTAGAAACTTTTTGAGGGACTTTGAACTTCACTAGAATGTAAATTTGGAGTGTGAGCGGATCTTATTTATATCTCAAAGATCAGGACGCCTTATTTAACATCAGAATTAAGACTGTGGTACTCAATGGGAGACAGAAGGGAAAAGGGCATTTTTCCCTCTGGGATAAAAAGATGGCTATTTTTGAGAATAAGAGATTAAAGGGAAATGGAGGTCTTAATGCCTGATGATTTTAATGTGCTGGGAGTAGTAAAAATCACCTGCCAAGATTACAGTGTGTTTGAAATGGAATTGATGACTAGAAATTTATGAGGGATTTTAGAAGATTCGTTTTAGGAAGAAGTCTCATGAAGATGAGCAGTAAGTGAACAATAAAGATTGTGGAGCTGAAGGTCCATTTGAAATAAGATGTTCTAATATTGTTGAATGATAATTAAACACAGTCTTTTGCCTTTTTCTAATATCATTTAACACACCTAAATTATAACGTAAAAAGTGAGAATTACCTGCCATTGGGGAGGGAGTCTGCTTGGTTGATGGGACATTTATTGGTATTGCCGACAGACTGGACACTGTGTATTTGTGTGTATGTGTGTTTAAAGGAGACAAACTGAGTGGAAGGTTTTGATTGGCCAGAAATTCTAGTGAAGGCAGAGTTTCCGTTTTAGTGCATGTCAAGGGCAAAGGCTAGAGAGTTGGAAATGAAGGAGATTGTGATAACCAATAACAAGCCTTTTCACATACTGCTGTTACATTTTAGGCTTGGAAGGCACGTACAATCCTTAAATTGAAGAGGGGCAAATTTGCAGTCTGGGGCATTTTAGCTTTAGAAACTCCCAAAATTATTGTCTTCTCTTTTCTTTCTTTGTTTCCTCATCTCTTTTCCTTTCTTCTCTCTTTTTCTGTCTCTCTCCTCCTCCTTCTTTCTTTCCTTTCTCCAACCCTTCCTTCTCTCCACTCCAGTTTTCTTCCTTTCAGAGTATTCATTGGTTGCTTGTGTCATGTTTTTGCGCAGTATAGATACAGTGGTGAACAAACCGGACTAATTCCTACTCTGATGGAACTTACCTAAACCACCGGGGAAGTATATAGCATGTTAACAAGTAGCGGAAGCCATGGAGGAGTGTAAGCTGTGTATGCGATTGCTCAGCCAGTTGAGCAGGGTGAAGGTGATCAGAAATGGTGAGAGTCTAGGCTGGTTTGGAAGGAGGAACCCGTAGACTTGCTCCTGGTTTGGATATGAGCTACAAGACAAAAAAAGGACTTAGGGTGGGCACCAAGGCTTAGTGAGCTGTATTGGGTGATGTGACTGATGTTAAGTTAGGATGAGAGACAGAACAAGGAATATTTGGCTTTGGGTGCAGAGTGGCCTTGGACCTGAATTAGTTAAGGTAGTGCTCTGACGCATTCCCGAGTGCTCTGAGGGTAAAATGGATCTTGCTCCGCATGGTCTCAGCAGCATTCGCAGGGCGTCCCTGGTGTTGAGAGGTTAGCATCGTGATGGTGGCATCTGTCTTCCCCCAAAGAGGAGAGTCAGGTCCCTGGCCCGACGCACACTGAGGTGTGAGTCACTGCTGGGACAGAGTGGGAGTTGAGAACTGTTGGGGCGAGTTCCTCCTTCCGCATGCCTTCTGTCTCCCTTCACCTGGGAGGGTCTTCTTGGAGCCTTCAGACTCTGCTCCGTTAGCCTGAGTGACTTGTCTGATGAATTTGGGAAGGCTAAACTGGACATGCTAACCCTTGCCCTTCTCCTCTGGAGCCTGAGCTGCTCACAGGACCTCAGGTCTGCACCCCCACTTCGTCACACCTGGCTGGAGTCAATGCCGGGCAGCCCTTTGGCTCTCACTGCGAGGCATGTCCTCTGACTTCACCTTTCTTCATTGTGACAGCGAAGTTCAGGCCTCTGTCTGCCGTTCCTGGATTTTATACTTTAGCTCGCTCAGAACCCTGGTGAGGAAGAAGAGTACAACTGAGTGAGACCCCAAGAGAAACAAAGGGAACGGGAGTCTCACCACCTCTTTCCGTTACAGCAGTTTGCAGAACGTATTCACACACGTAATCTCATCTGTGGCCGCCGGTCTGCAGGGGAAGGAGTTGAAGTTTATGGAAGTTAAATAACATGACCGAACTCAGTTATTAACAGTGGCAGTGAGATATAAATCCAGGTTTGTTACCACTGAACATGTTCTTTCTCATGTCTACAACTACTTTAGACATATATGAGGGATAGCTTTTCTTTGAGTCACTGGGGTGGCCCATGCATTCATCACGGTTGGAGCAGCAGCATGGGGACCTCTGTCAACTTGTGGAAATAGAACACTTACCATTATGTATTTTATTAGTTAAAGCCTCACACATTTGTTCATCCATCTCTCATTCGAAATATGCCAACTGTTTTATTTGTCCGAAATGCATTCAAATGCATTTGTCTTGCCAGTCACCCTTCATGGAGGTTTTTTTTTAAAGTGCTGAATTTTGGTATGGACTTTGTTATGTTTGTTAATCTGGTGATATTTGTGGCTCAACTAGGAAATGAATAATAGCCCCCCAAATTGCTGAAGGATTTTTATAGCAGGTGCTTTCTACCCAGTACATTTTCATTCCTCCATTTTGGCAGAATGCAATAGCTATTAATTATCGTAACATTTTAAAAGTCTCCAGCTTCACAGTGGCAACTGTGGTGTGCGTGTTTGTGTGCGAAGGGAAATCTGATGTGGCAAGTGCCCAGGGGAGTCTCTGTGGAAAGAGGGGTGCAATGGGAACGATGCTGAGATGTTTCCTTGTGGTGGGAAACTCCTGTGCCCATCTGCATGGGTAGAAGGAATGTGAATTAGCTGTTGAGGTTGTGCACATACTACTAAAAGCAACTGTGTAATCTAGTTTTCAAGACCTGTGCTACCCAAACCCATTTTTCTACATGACATAATGTTATCATTTAAATGTTGTCATTCGAATGTGAAGACCAGCTGTGCATATCAGGACACAGCTGCTGAGCTGAGGTGCAGATCAGCCATCTGGTGCTTGGTTCTGGGTAGTTAAATTCCAGCCAGGGATTTAACTTCATATCCAGCTGTGATAAAGTAAATTGAAGGCTGCATATTATTCCCCAGAAATCGCTCCTTTGGCATAGTCCTCAGGAATACATTTAACCAGGGGCGCCATTGATGGGTTCTACACTTCCAATGATAGCATCGGCCAGAACAAAACCAAACCCAAATTTATGTGGTCATTTCACATTTTTGTATGAAATAAAATAGCTAAAGAGAATGAAGCTTTTTAATCTTCTTCAAATGATTTGTTTACAGGGACGAGGTGTAGTACAGCAGCCTGGCTTTGCTCATCTTTCTGAGTGATGGGAGGAAAACTCAAGGAACTGGAAAAGGCGGATGCGGCAGAGGTGGCGCTTAGTTGGCCTGGTTTCCAGAATCAGTCGCTGTGGCTGGAGGTGAGTGAAGCAGGAGGAGGTGCTCAAGTTCCCAGTAGTCACCACTGTGCCGCAACCCGCCCTTCCTCAATCCCAGTGCTTTCAAGGGTGGACCTTAAAATCCCGCCTTGTGCGCAGGTTGGTCTCGGAGTCCCGAGGAAGGAAAAAACCTTGACAAATTAGACTCCTCCAGTGTCTTCAGGCATTCCCGTGTATAAATAACCGCATGGAATTGTAGACTTCATCTGTGTTACTCTTTAAAGGGGCAGACTTTTACTATAACTCAGTGCAATAGTTTCATTAATGAATGGTCTGTAGATGATTTTATCTAGAGTAAATGACTCTAGGATGTATTAATTACTGAGCAGAAGGGAATTAGGGCTTATACTAATGTAAGTTAGCTGTCAAATAATGTAGCCAACGCCTAGGTAAAGTGGTTTTATCTTTCTTTAATACAAGTTCTCTGTATTCCATCTTGTGGCTTCTGACTGGCCATGATAGGGGCTGGGCTGTGCTTATTGATCTGTGGCGTCTGCCCTTCTCCACGGGAGGCACGTGATTGAACTTAACGATGACCAGCTTCACAGCTCAACCAGCTGGTTTTTAGTGGGATTTTTGCGTGTTTACTTTAGTTTGTGTACAGAACACTGTTCTTGTGCATCATTAACTATGGGAAGATGAAGGAAAGAAAATGGCAAGTGAGAGTTATAAAATGTGTAAGATTAACTGAAATAGTAGATTCTTCTGCATTTCCAGCTCCATGTGGTGACAATGAAACGTGCTTTAGATTTGTGTCAGCTACGATCTGGTGTCCCTGGCCGCCCAGAGAAGCTGTAGGGCTGGTGAGGCCCCCCGACCCTGGGCCCAGACAGTCTGGCTGGTGCCTCTGTTTCTGCTCCATCTCTGCTGCTGAACTGGACTCTCCCCTCCGAGTGGGACCCCAGGCTCCCCTCATTCTCTGATGCACAAATCTATGTGGCAGTTTGCATATATAAATATGATGGACTAGGGAACAAATTTAGAAGCATAGAAACATATGCTTATGAGATCTATCATTATTATTTTGAGCAAATCCTTCCAGATACTAATGGAAAGATTTGTTCCTTTTTTTTTTTTTTGGATATGGGAAGGGGATTAAAGACAGTAAATTAGGATGTGCAGAGATGTTGCCAGTAATCCTGGGCCCCTATCCACTCTGAGCTCCAGCCAGAGAGCTGTCCTGGACATTTGGTTAGTAAACACGATGACTGTTAAACCACAGAAACTGGGGTGAGGGGTCTGTGACTCTAACGGAGGACCCATGGCATTCAGCACTGTGAATGTGATGTATCAGTGATGTGTGAGATGGGGACACAAAACATTTGGAGAGGACTAGGAGGGAGAGAAGAATTCTGGCTAGTGACTCAAAAAAAAAGAGAATGGAGGAGGAGGCATTGGATTTAGGCCTGGAAACATGGGCGGGGTTTTAAGTGAAGATAAATTTTACGAAGAAAAACTATTCTCTCCTTTTTTTACCTAAAGTCTATCTTTTCTTCAAACTTCAATTTAATAAATTAAACAGTGGTTGTGTGTGTGTGTGTGTGTGCGCGCGCATGCATGTTGGAAAACATGGGGACTTTGGAGCCATCTGACTCCACGCTGTCAGTAAGTAGCTGGCTGACCTTGGGAAACCCATCTTTGGGCCTCTGCAGGTGATCATGACCTCTACCTGACTAGGGTGAGAGGGTCAGATGCTAAAATGCCACAGAGCCCCGAAGGTCCTGGACCTGACTCCTTGGGAAAACTCACTATGGGCCACTTCCTTTCCTTAGTCCCCTTGAGCCCAGGACTTTGTATTAGGGTTATTTAGTGTGTACTGGGGATCCGGACGAAATCTTCTTTAGGAAGCAGATCCTGTAAGTACTCACTTTATAGTAACAGTCCACTTCCTCCTGGAAGGATCAGTGAGTGCAAGACTTTCACGGATGTTGACACCTGACCCAAACTGGTCCAGTCATAAAATGTAGCAAAATAACTGGTGACGTACAGAGCCTAAAAGAGAAATCTGTTTGATTTACAGAGTTTTTTGAACCTCTTTATTCTATAGAGAGCTATTTTCAAAGGACGTGCTTCTGCAGTGCTGACGCATTAGATTTTGTAGATGGTTGCATTTTGAGGGGTATGCGGGTTTTTTCTCCCAACTGACCTCTTAAGAATTAGGTCACCGAGTATACTCTCTTCCCCTAATTAGGCTCTGATGGCATCTAATTGGGCAGTTAACTTCCTTTGCTAGGTGTTTTTGTTCTTATTATGCAGACGTCTACCCCAACTGAGAAAGAATGAGACGGGCTCCCCCGAGTACGACTGAAGGGCGTCACAGGTTTGGGGATGGGAAAGGACACAGACCAGCTATTGCCAGCTGTGTAGGCTGCTTTCGAAGGTGTGGGGTTTACAGATGGCTACATACAATTTCTGAGTTGACAAGGAGAAGGATTCCCAACCTCGGTACTGTTGGTATGGGCTTGGGGAGAGGAAAAGTGAAAGAAAAATAGTCACTATACATGGTGGGAGAGGCAAAACATAGATCTGTAAAAAGTCTGATTTTGACTTTTGCTAAATTACAGTTCTTTATATTTATACCATCCAGCCATGTGCCTGAAATAAGTTTGAAATCACAAAATGGCAAAATTTGTAGTAAATGAAAATCATCCTGGATTAGTCCTATGTGAGGATATTGTGATAGAGCAAACAGTTGTGTCTGAACAGATTCCTCACTAATGATGTCTGCACAGCTCAACTAAGTGTCAGCAGTAAGAGGTTATCTCAGGAAGGAAGTGGTGGTGGCACTGACTTTTGACTTGGTCGTTACCTGCAGTAATTCAGCTCTGCTTCTCCATATGGTTTCCCTCAACAGAGGTGGGCATCCAGCTCCTTTTGTGCCGTGCGACCTCCCTCTCCGCCTTCGCAGAGCTGAGCCATCTTTTTTATTTAAAGCTGACATATTTAACAGTTTGGAGGAGGGTATGGGTGAAACGTTATTGTTTATTAAGTTATTCCATTGATGAACACTATTGAGAGTTCGTTATTTTTGTGTAAATGCTTTCTACTGGTTTGCATCTCATTTGTCTTACATTTGTTTCTGTGACGCTCCTGTGATGTTTATAATGGGTCAGACCAGTACCCGAGGGCTTGTTTCCTGCTACATTGCACCTTTACTTTGGTGCCCAGCTCCATCTGCTTCCTCCTGTCCTTGGACTTGGTCCTCTCGAGTTATTTCCATTCTTCCTGTCAGATAGCGTCCTGCTCCTAATGAACAGGCACACTTCAGAGTTCTCTGGAGGCACTAATCTGTGGTAGTGCTTTTAGTTAATCAAATTCAATATTACATACACATTTTTACTTTACTAGAAATATCCCATTAACGTTAACCATCAGAGTTATGAATGAAATGATACTCGATACAATTTTGTTCACACTTTCTTTAACCTTTCCTAATAACTTGGACATTTCTTACACTACCTTTTAGCCTACTGTCTACATATCTTTTCTCTCCTAATAGTTACAGATAGGAAATTTAACTTCTCTTATTTTCCAAAATCTGGGGTTGGCAAACTACAGCTTGTGAGCCAAATCTAGTCAGTCACCTGTTTTTGAACAGTTCATGGGCCAAGAGTAGTTTTTGCATTTCTAACTAGTAGAAAAAAATCAGAAGACACGTTTTGAAGCTCGTGAACATCATGTGAAATTGGAATTTCAGTGTCTGTAAACCCAGTTGTGTTGGACCAGGGCCACACTCCTCTGTCCGCGTGCCGTCCGCGTGCCATGTGCGTGCTGTCTGCCTGTTGTCTGCGTGCTGTCTGCGGCCACCATGGGGGCGCTGGGCGTTGGTGACCGGACAGGATGCCCACCCGCCTGCGCATTTGCCGCCCAGGCCCGTACAGAAGAGGCTTGCAGGCCTTTCTCCTGAAGTCCTGGGCAGTGGTCTCAGGGGTTGCCAGAGGCCTTGTGACGACCTCAAGAATGAGTAAACCAATGTATATTAAATTGGGAGTTATTATTAATAAACTTAAGCAGTTTGGATAGTTTAAGCAATATAGACAATTAAAATTTGCTGTGGTCACTGGCATGGAGCTGAGAACCCAGGCCAGATGCTTGGTGCTTCCTTATTCCTGGGTCGAGGTCAGTAGTCACAGGGCAGTGGCCACGTGAGCACGATTCAGCCCTTTAGGTCCTGGAAATAGCTGAGAAGGGAGGGAAAGCCAAAGAACAATAAGACTTTCTTGCTTGGAAATGAAATTACACTTTAAAAAAATTAATGGCAAAAACCTAAACACCAGTTGCAAGAAAATAAGGCGATCACTGTGGATTTGGAAAATAAATAATTCTGGTTTTTTAAAAAAGCAGTCATCTTAATATAAAACTCACTTCTTTACCTGGGGATTAGAAAAAGTGTATGCATAGAGTAAAAAACCTCACATGTGTGAAGAAAGATGAATTGGACAAGAAAGCTTCAAAACGCCCTTAATTAAGAGGCGTATGGGATGAATGTTCTCTTATACTGACGGCCTTTGACTCCCAAGGAGGGATAGCGAGAATTGAAAGAAAAGTGGGAGATGCTTCCCAGCCTTGCCTCCTGACCCGCACTTTATCGTGACGAGGTGCCGGTGGCATGGTCAGTGCTCAGGGAAAGGGGTGCCAGAAAAAGGGATTAGTTAGGCGTTAGTTTCTGACCTTCACAGAGTTGTCATAGAACGTTGGATGACTACTACTGATTTTAAATACAAAATACCACTTTCCATGCTTACAGTGCATTCAAGAGAGATGTCATTTTTTTCCTGAAAAAGTTAACAATTTTTAATAAGCAGCATTTAATTAGAAATACTCACTAAGATGTAAACTTGCTCCTAACTGCAGGGCACTGTTCCTTCGTGGCTGCATATTTAGTGTTCTGCTGGTGATGAGAGAATTCATTACTACCCCTGCTTGATACGATTAGCTTGGACGTAACTATCTAACGAACGTGATAAGTAATCCTTGCTGCA